TAGCAGGTGCCCTGGGTGGGAGGGGGTGCCCTGGCTGGGAGGGGTTCCCTGGGAGGGGCGGGGTGCCCGGGATGGGAAGGGTGCCCTGGATGGGAAGGGTGCCCTGGGCGGGAGGGGGTGCACGGGATGGGAGGGGTGCCCTCGGCCTGGCTTCCCCGGCGCCCACTGGCTGCTGTGTTTCAGAGTCCTCGATGTCGGGCGCCCTGGTGTTTGGCGTCATCTGCGGGACCCTCATGGGTGTCGTCATTGTCATCTTCTTCACTGGGGTTTTGTTCAGATTCCTGCGGAGGAGGCGGGCTTCCCGTGAGTAGGAAGAGGGAGGAAGTCTGCCCAGGGTGTGGGGCTTCTGCAGGACATGGGCAGGGCCAGGGGTGGGGAGGGCCCAGGGCACCCGAGAAGGGCCTCTGCTCGCTCTCTCTGGAGGCACTGGCTCTCCCAGGGGAACAGGAATGACAGGGTTTCCGCAGAACGAAAGCTTGATCCCCAGTAGGGGGCGTGCAGGAGGCAGCTGATCCATGATTCTCTCTCATCATTGATGTTTCTCTCACTCTCCCTTCCTCTCTGAAATCAATAAAAACATATACAGACTAGAGGCCCAGGCCACAAAATTCGTGCACTCGGGGTTGGGGTGTGAGGGTCCCTTGGAGGTGGTCATCCCTCAGCCAGGCCTGTGCCCTCTCACAGTCCGGGAGCCTCAGGGGATGTCTGACTGACAGCTTAGGCCCATGGGGAGCGGGCCTAAGCCATCAGTCAGACATCCTTGGTGCTGCCGTGGAGGCAGGAGAGGCTCCCACCACCGCCACTGCGCTCGCCAGCGGTGGGCCCGGCTTCTGGCTGAGCGGGTCTCCCTCTGTGGGAGCGCACTGACCACCAGGGGCAGCTCCTGCAATGAGTGTCTGCCCCCTGGTGCTCAGTGGGCATCATAGTGACTGGTGGTTCTGCCTTCGGTGGATTTGCATATTAGCCTTTTATTATATAGAATAGGATATTTTAAAAATTTATTCCTTGGGGAGGGAGAGGTCAGAGTTGAGGTGAGCAGGTGAGGGAGGTGAGGGAGGGGGAAGGTGATGCCCAGATTCTTGTCTCTGCAGGAGGCACCCTGGGGAGCTATGTCCTCGCCGACCGTGAATGAGGTGCAGCCTGCAGACTCCGCGGGAAGGAGCCGGTCGGAGACTCAGAGCGGGCGCCCGGGTGACCTTGGTGCTGGAGGACAGAGCTGCACCCGCAGATGGGAGCCGGCCCAGGAACCCCTGCTCTCTGCCGTCCCCCATTTAGGTTTTGGGTTCCTACCTGCCGACACCCCGCGGCGACTGCTCTGAGAGCTGGCTCTGGATCCCAGGCTGCAGGGAGAGCCTGCCTCGGTTCCCGCCCCCTGCGACTCCACGCGCCGGCTCATCTCAGCTCCTCCCTCCGCAGCGAGGCTGCTGAAGTTTGCTGGACTCGGGATTCTCTGGAAGCTGCGAGACAAGCCTGCAGCTTCTCTCAGGGCATCCGTCCTCCTACCGCGAATGTGCGCAGGTGCACGCACTTCCCGGATCCGTTTCCTTTTGATCCTCCCCGTCTCTGTCCTCCAGTGGCCCTTCTGTCCCTGCCCTGTGGTCTCCTCTATGGAGAGGACCTGGGTCCTTACACTGGCCCTTGACCCCGAATCAAACACGCGACACTTTGGTGCAAGGGCTGACTAACCACTCAACCACACTGGCCAGGGCCGGCCTGTGCTTTCTTGCTGCTGCTGCATATATTTGGTTGCAAAGCTGTGGCATGAGGCCTTCTGTCTCAGGGGGCAGGTGCCTCACGAGACCAAATATAGCTCAAAAGTGTGCTGGTAGGTACTGAAATTGGGCAAAGAGATCTCAACTACTTTTTCAATTGGATAAAGATACATGTAACATGTGCTTGCTATAGAAACGTTGAAAAGGAATTAACTTGGAACTATCATTCCACTAGCCAATGATAAACTCTATGAATAATGTGTGCTCCTCAGTCTTATTGCTGTATGAAAATATAAAAGGCATCCAATGCACATATTTTAATAAATGCATGATGAATTGTGTTGAGTACTGCATGATTTTTTCTGCTGTATTTTCCCGCCTTACATATAAACTATATACTTACTAGAGGCCCGGTGCATGAAAATTTGTGCACTCGGTGGGGGGAGTCCCTCTGCCCGGCCTGAGCCCTCTCGCAGTCTGGGAGCCCTCGCTCCTTACCACCCGCCTGCTCACTGCCCCTTAGCGCTGCCTTGGAGGTGGGAGAAACTCCCGCCACCACAGCTGCCCGGCTTCTGGCTGAGCTGAGCTCCCCCTGTGGGAGCGCACTGACCACCAGGGGGGCAGCTCCTGCGCTGAGTGTCTGCCCCCTGGTGGTCAGTGCACATCATAGCGACCGGTCATTCTGCTGTTCAGTCGATTTGCATGTTACCCTTCTACTATACAGGATTATGTTATTTGGGGGAACTTTTACTGCTTCTAAATTTCTTACAATTTGTTTCATGGACTATTTTCATTAAACCCTGATAGATGACTTCACTGTTTTTCTTTGCTCCAGAAATATTACCATCTAAATTGCAGCACCTTGGTTATTTTGTTAACTCCCACAAGGGTCTCAGGTCTGGGCAGCTCTTGCTAAGTGTTCACATGCGCAACAGTGTTTTGCAGACGCAGCTCTAACCAGATGGGCGTGACCTGACCCCAACCGGGTAGGTTCCGCCGACTGTGGAACGAGGAATCAGCACGGAGCGGAACAGACCATGTGGCTAAGCCTCGGCTCGGCCTCCCTTCTGTGAGGCTCACTTGGGTGCGAGTCCCTGTCTCCTTTACTTGCTGGAAGGAACGGAAGGAAACTGCCGGAGGACAGCGTCTCCCTCCGGAGCAGAGCACCCCAAGCGGGAACGCCTGGCGTCCAGTAACGATTTTCCCTCCAACCCACGCTGGAAGCACAGGGACACATGCTTTCGCTGTACATGTATGTACATGTATGTATTTCCTCCTGTCCCCAAAGCTTCGGCCAAGAAGCATCCTTCTACCCCCTTCAGGATGTGTTACAATTAACTAGGCAACCGTTTGTTTCCTATTGGCTTTATTTCACAGGCTGAGATTTCTAGAAACACCCTCCCTAGTCTTTACAGGAACACAGTTATGAACCATCTGCCACTGGGACCTGTTCATTGTCCTTTTTTTTTTTTTATAGCTGACGTTAAAAATCTTTATTGTCTTTCAGTCTTTCTTAGCTTAATTTTTCTTGCCTTGTTCATCAGTTCTTCAGGTCAACTGCATTTGAAAAACCAAAACTTTACATTTTAAAATCTTTTAAATTTTTTTTCCAGAGAGGAAGGGAGAGGGAGATAGAAACATCCATGATGAGAGTCATTGACCAGCTGCCTCCTGCACGCCTCCCAGTAGGGACTGAGCCCGCAACCCAGGCCTGTGTGGTGACCATGACCTCTGGTTCATAGGTCAAAGCTCACCCCCTGGGCCAGGGCAGCCAGGCTGAATACTGTTAACTTATTTGGCTTCTGGCAAAACCGCCTACTAAGCCTGGTATTGCGGAGACGGGCGCCCTCTGGTGGCCACAGTCAAACAGCACAATGGCCCTGAGACTCCCGGAGCTGGGGCTGGGGCCCTGGAGGTCATCCCTGGTGAAGAAAAGCACCTGGAAATTGGAGGAAATAAGAAATGTCACCAGTTCTGCGAATCGCTGGACTCAGACAGAAGGCAAACAAGACTGGCCATCTGTGCACAGTTGGGGAAGGGCTGCTGGGAGGTATAAGCAAAAATGTGTTATATAATAACAGCACGTACTGGAGGCATTCTTTACACACACACACACTTAAAAAACGAGACACCTGCCGGACAGTGTGGCTCAGCGCTGACCTATAAGCCAGGAGGTCGAGGATCGATTTCCCATCGCAGCACAGGCCCCGGATGCAGGTCCCAATCAACGATTCTCATCACTGATGTTTCTATCTTTCTCTCCTCCCTTTCTCTCTGAAATCAATACACACACACACACACACACACACACACACACACAAAGATAAAAATGGTAATGTCTT